CAGCGAATTGCGGCGCAAAATGCCACTGCGACGAGGCAGTCAATTTCACTGTGAGTGGGTGATATTTGCGTGTGACTACGCACACATAGAGCTGTGGGGATCCGAATGTCAAGTGCAATACGAGAAGAAGAGAGACACCTCGTCGCAGTTGTTGTGTGTGCCGTGCAATTTGCACGGTTTGCCTAGGGAGATCTAATTTGCCCTCGTTGTTTGTGTATAGGTGGGGGTGCCGCGTGCCGTGTGTGTCGGTGGCCCTCTCTCTCTCTTGTTTTCGTTGCAGCTGCGTGGGGTCGTGCCTCTGCCTGTTTTTTTATTAATAATTTCATTCTCCCTTTTGACTGCTGGTTGAGTATTGTGCAGCAGTTCAACTCAAGTTAACCACCACGAAGGAAAACATGTCTGAGAGACGCGAGGAAGAATTTCACGCCGCCGAGGAGCCCCCGCGCAGCGCCGAAGGGTGGAAGGAGCGCCGCAGCGGCCAAGGCGGACGCTTGCAAGCTCTATCGAGGATGTCCGTAATGTGCGGGTTGGCCAAATCAATATAATTTTGCTGAACGACTTCCTTCGACAGTACATTGGCCCCAACAGAGCGGTGGGTGAAGGCCAAAATGTGGTGATGGAGGTATTTGTGTGCAGGAAGGTGGTGTGTGTGTGTGTGGAACGTCATTAAGCGAAGCACGACAACTGGCCTTCTCCTGATATTTGTACTGACATAAAGCGGTCGTACATTTGTGGTTGGAACAGCGGGCATTGGCAAGTTGCTGGTGATGGGGCCCTTTCTGCTGCACGAGCTCCTGCACTACGACGCCGTGAGGGTCCCGGTGGTGGCCTACTTTGTAGAAGGGTCAGTGTGCCTTTTCCACAAAACGGGAGAAATGGCAGGGACAGCAGTGAAATATGAAAGCATCAGTGAAGGTTTGTGGGCCATCGAAGAGTTAGAAAGGGCTAACGTAGGGGGTTACTATATTTTTGATGTGACTAAGGACCATCGAGTTGTGGCGGGGCTGCCTCGTCGACGGTGGGGCGGAATAGTGTTGACTATGCCTGACGCACGTAACTATGAGGGGTGAGAGAAACAACGTAATGCGTTTAACATTTTTGTGAACGGCTACGATGCACGAGAGATGAAGGCATTCTTTGCATGGCAGCAGCGTGATTTGCTGCGTGGCTTGCAGGGAATCGGTGAGGGTAGAGCAGAGCTTGAGGGGAGGTGGCAGAGGATGAAGGACCGTATTTGTGTGCTTGGACCGCTCCCTCGCCACGTTTTTGACGAGAACAATTACTCAGGGCGCCGTATCGCAATTAAAACTGCGCTGTCCAACACGTCTGACATATGCTGGGAGCACTGCGCAAGGCTTTTGTTTGGCAAGGCTGAGTGGGGCGAGGATGGGACAGCGGATAAGCTGATCAAGGTGCTGCGTGTGTTGAGGAGGAGCGCGTGGTGAGGGATGCGTCGGTGGTGGTGAGGCCCAATGCGGGGAATGGAGAGGACGCGGAAAGCTGCAGGAATTTTCCCGTTTCAGTTGAGGTCGAAAAGAACATTGCAGAGGCGGGTGCTAATGAAGAACTTTAGGATGTCCCGCCAGCTGTCTGTTGTGGGAACGTGGAGTCAGTCTGCAGCTGATGATATTGAGTGCTTGGGCTGCGTGGCGTTTCTGATTGGCGACGTTGCCGAAGCGGTTGCTCGCAAGGTGAATCACCTTCCCCGCAGCGAGGGAGAAACGCGGGCCAGCGTGTTGGTGGACGAGCATGCGGTGGGCCGCTTTCCAAAGGAACCCTGCGTGGTCGGATGCGTGGCAGGTGGAGATAATAGAAGGGTAATAATCCAGACTGAACTTCATGCTGGCGTTCTGTATATGCTCAGCAAGGGTTTTGTCACCGTGCTGGACGCGTTCTACGTGGTCGGGGTGCAACCAACGGAAACTGCCAAGAAAAAATAAATAAATCTGGGCGGTCCCGAAATGCTGGCACCGGTGGGCACAGCGGTGCGGAAAGGGAAGTGATGTTCATCGGGCTGCAGGTGACAAAACACAACACCCACCACACCACTGCCGGTAAGGTGGCTGCGTTTCTGAAGTACATGACATGCAACTTCAAGGGCTGGGAGGCGCCGAGGGAAAAGATGAAGTGGGAGATCATTTACATCCAGCACGCTGCGAGCACGCTGATGACGGGAAGGCGGGATTGCCATGTCACGGAGGGAGAAAAGGAGGTGCCGAGACTTCAGGTTGCCAAAGACCTTTGGGAGAGAAGGGTGGAACAGTACCAGGTGCAGCTTGACGCGGAGATGACTGCCCAGCTGATTGTTGCTGCCAGCGAAGACCACTCAGGATAAGTGACGGGAACGTTGGGTGTGGCTGGGAATCCGCCCTGCTCGTGTGTTACATGGTGTTGTATGGGTTTGTGTCGTTTCAAGGCATTCTTTTAGTGCGTTTCTTTCTTGGTGGGGAAGGAAGGGCGGCGGCATGGCTGGGAGTGGGGGAGAGGCGAGTTGTATTATTATTGTGGTTGGTGTAGTGTGTGGAGTGGCGGCTTCCTCGTGTGTCTTGCAGCGGGGGTGGGGTGCTTTGCTGAGAGAAGGCGGTGAGGGGAGTGTGTCACCCGCTGAGGCTGAGCAGACGACAGATGGTTTTGTGTGGCTCCTCTGCTTGTTTTGCGGATGACTTGATTTTTAGCTTTCAGCGATGCCGCGTTGGGGAGCAGCGCGAGTGTTTTTTTATTTTGAGTTCTTCCACGCCACAACCCCCCACTGCAACTGATGGTAATAATGACACCCTCCAATGCGGAAGGGAGTCGGGTGGTTGCGGGGCGCACCGAGCCAAACTGCGATTCCCCCATTGTGCGACCTTCGCTTTTTAGGAGTTGTAGCCATATGGCCTTATCCAGAGGCATATTTTATTATTATTATTATTATTTTGTTTCATGAGATTTTTGGTGAGTCTTTTGGTCGGTTCTTTGCGGCGGTGGGTGCGGTGGGGTCGATCGCCTTTTCGGGTGCTGGGAATTATTCTTTTCGTTGGGATTGGGCACGCAGCCGTGGCGCGGCGAGGGCGCATTTCACGGAGTGGTGAAGACGTCCCCCGGTGGCATAGGGGAGGTGTGGCGGCGAGGTGTGTTTCTCGGCGCACCGATGGGTGAGAGAAACTGGCAGATGAAATAAAATAACAGCCGGCAACGAACATGGGGAGGGAGGAAGGGAGTATGTCTATATATAATATATGCACGTATTGGTGGAGCTGCGGGATTTCCGTTTGTCAAAGGAACTAGCGACGCGGCCTGTGGTCGCAATCATACGGGCAGGATCTCTCTGTCGGCAAGGCACAGCCCCAACACAAGCGACTGTCTGCAGCAGACTGGCACCGGCGACGGTTGTGTGCGCTGCACGCAGGACCGTAAATGGGGCACCCCACCGAGTCCGCTGTATTGCCGCAGAAGGAATAGTACCCTGCGCATGTGGGTTGGAGGTACGGGGTGCTGGCGGTGTTGACAGTGAAGGGCGGTTGGGCTGCAGGTTGCTGCGGCGGCGCCGGCACAATGAGGCAGTTCGGTGAGTGCACGGCGAGGTGTATTTAATAAAATGGGGAAACTTTCGTTGACGAGTTGTCGAGAGGGAAATTATTGACGTGCGGCACGCTGCGAGTGCGCCAATCACACACAGGTGGCGGGGTGTGTGACGCCGTCGCGCCCCGAGTTGCTGCTCACCATCAAGAGGAGGAGAAGACGGTGTATTTTTGGCACCGGAAGGTGCGCCACTGCCGGTTGGCGACGTATGGAGGCGTACATGCCGTGCGTGGTGGTTGAAGCGGTTTCTTGTTTTTCACTCAGCCTTTTTTGAGGTGCTTCACTTCCACGAGCACCGCGGTGCGGCTGGGAGGTGGGCGATTGCGGCTGGGTTGCTAGTGGCGGTGGTGTCGCTGCGAGAGCTTGTTTTTGTGGCTGCAGAGTGAAGGCATCTGCTGCTTGTGTCTCGCAGTGGTGGTACTGTGTGCACCGTTTATTTTGTATTGTTTTTATTGTTTTTTTCAATTTTATTTTTTGTTACGCCACGCCCCCACTCCTGCTGCAGTGCGCTGAGGGAGGTGGGGGGCGTTGAAGGTTTTGTGGGGGCCGTGATGGGAGGTCTCGCCGGCATTGCGCACTGCGTGGTGATGCTGGCAGGGTTTGAAGGGGCTGAGTGGGGGAGACGGTAAGCGAGGTGTGTATGAATTTGTTTGTTGTTGTTTGATTTCTGTGGGAGGCGTCACAAACTGCGGACTCTCCGTGCGGGTGCGTGTGGATGTTTCTTTGGGCTGCGCACAACAGTCGCTGCTACCGCCGCCTTTTTTGCGGCTGGCGTTTCTTGTGGGGGGCGGCGAGTGTGAGATCGTGCGGTCCACGCGTTTATCGGTGTGACCTTCATTATGGATTGTCGCTGTTCTTTGCGGTGTGCCCAACCGTGGGTGCGGGCGGTGCCTTTTTTTGTTGGAATTTGCTTTTATTTTGGTGTGTTTGCTTCTTCCTCATAACTTTCTGTGCCCAACACACGAGGAAGGAAAAGAGAGACCAAACGCTACTTGTTGTT